TCTCCAGTTGTCACTTTCTGCCTTCCAGCTGGAAGGAAAAGAGGCCCTTAATGGTCATTTCATGCCTGCCAAACAATTCTTGGGATTGTAGTTAAGCTTTACTCAGAGTAGACCCATTGAAAGTAATGGACCTGTGCTTATTAATTTTGATGGGTCCACTCTAAGTGGGATTAGCATTGGATACAGCCCTTGATCCAGTTTTTAGTTTCTTTCTTTTTTCTTTTTACCTTCCCCCCTGCAAAGTATTTCACTTTCATATTACTTGCCCTATTTGGGGCCAAAACACACAGGAATTGCTCCATCTCCATGATCATATAAATCACATATCTAGAAATCACAAATCAGGAGCCATAGATCAAGAAATCCATGATGGACTGCTGAATTCATAGCTACCACCCACAACGTGGAAACATAGAAAATATCAGATTATTTACTATTTTCATCTGCTAAATAAGATGATGCTACCTTTTACGGACAAATCCTCCTGATAAATTAAAATTAATGTGACAAATACCAAAATGATATGCAAAACAGCACATATTAAAATGTAATGAGCCAACAATAAAATAATTGAAAGCACTGATGGAATAATAAAGAAATTCAGGATCCTAGAACTATGGTTTTCCTTCCTTCTAAGTTATACTCAGAGAAGACCTATCAAAGTGAAAGCACCTAAGTTAGTCGTGTAACTTAGAATGTACCTAAGTTAGTCATTTCAATGGCTCAACCCTGAGAAGAACTAACACTAGATGCGACCCAGTTCTCTCAAACATACTCTTTTGAACTAGCTCAAGTATCCAGATTGCTAGGCTCTGTTTTCACAATCAGAATCTCAGGTTGAACTTTCAGGCTAGTGCTCTTGGAGTGCTTTCTCAAAGCCACTTCATATAAATTAGTTAACCTGTAACACACATTTATAACAACTTTATGACACTTTCTCACTCTCTCCCTCCTCTGTGCACACGCATGCGCGTACACACACACACACACACACACAGAGAGAGAGAGAGAGAGATCCTCAATTCCATGATGATCTGTGACTTTGAATCCTGACGAATTAACCGTCAAAGTCATCATAATCACTATTGGCTGAAACACATCACATCATTACAATGAGAATTCGGGGACAGGGGGAATAGGTTACACAGTGTATGGTTAGAAAATGATTCAACAGACTGATTGGAAGCTTTGCTGTAGAAAATTTAGGAGTAGAAATGATAAGAAATGGAATATTTGGAATGAGTTGAATACTTAGCAGGAGACTCTGGCATGCTGACTTGTGGTGTGCATTTTTGTTCCATAGACTTTGATAGGTTGGCTTTGTGGGAAAGAGTTCTCCATTTGTACTGTGTCTTTTGGGAAACATTTTGTTGTGTTAGCTGAAGTGGAATGTCTAGTATGTGCTTTTTGTCTAATAGCAGTGTAACATGCTTGTAGTTTTTGATGAAAAAGGCGATTTTGTGGCCACTGCTGGTCAATGGGATTTCATAACAGTGTCGCTTGCACACATGCTCAGTACAATATGAACCTGTTGTGGGAGGTGGTTAAAGCGGGTGGGGGTTGAATGGAATATTGGATGGAGCTAGAATGACTCAAGCAGAGCAGGATGGTTGGAAATTAAAAGAGTAGCTGTGTAAGGAACAGAAAATGAGTGATGGATTGATATAAAAGCACTGACAAACCAGGCCTCAGCCTTAAAGAGTTTATACTTCAAGTAGGTCAAGTGTGAAAAGATACAGGAAGAAGAGATCACTGGAGTAAAAATCATTTGAGAGGCATGGGGTGGAAGAGATGAAAATATATGTGAGGTGGGCAGCACCTGGATTTCTGATGGGCAACTTTTGAAGGAACAGGGAAGCCTTTAAGGGAAAAACAGGAGGGAGATTTAGGGAGCAACAGTGTGACGGTAAGTGCTTTTATCTTCTGAATTCCTCTTTTCCTATTTCAACTTTGAAAGGGCTCGCCAGTTGACCTGAAAACTACCAGCTGGACCCATTCTGGTTCCCTTTAAAACCATACCATGTGCAGGATTCAGCTGGGGTGATGGTAGGGCATGGGAATCAACCCAAACCTTTGCTGATGTCACCCAAGTAACCAGCTGTTCCAGGCAAAAAAGAGGCAGTGGCAGCCAGTAGAAGTTAGCAACCCTGTTAAAGACACAGGAGCCTGGTGAAGCAAAAAGCAGTTGTTGGCCTTTATTTCTAATCTTGTTTCACTTAACAACATAGGGTGCACTGGTGGGGCTGTATGGAGTAACAGCTTCATCACCTTTGGAGCTGGATGGTTGTCAGTGGCGGGGTGGTTAACTGAATGGAATCAACTGTCTGGCTCAGATGGAAGAGCAAACCAGAGTTTCCTTCTGTAAAAATAAGTTGCACTGGATTTCAGGCTTGTGCTCCTCTCCTCCTTCTCTGCAGTTGTGAGATCAGAACTTAAAAACAACAACAATAAATAGCACCTTGTAGGCAAAGCCACTTACTGTTTTTGCTTACAAGAAATCTTAGTCTAGGGAGTCATAGTGTTTTCAGGAAGGCTGCCGAATGCAGACCAGTGGAAAACAAATTTCATTGGCAACAAAAACTCTTGTAGCCCTCAAATTAGAATTTCATCACTCATTGGATCATTTTTGCATGCAGTTTTCCCCTCTCATAAATTGATAAAAGGATGGGTGTGTGTGTAGGGAATGCAGAATAACTTTTTTGGCACAGCACAAAACTGAGAGCAAACCAGAATCTAAGACCATAGTTTGATCCTGGCTCACTCTCATTATTCCACAGTTTAAACATATTATAGTTTCCAAGTGCAGGTGTCACAGGAAACTGTGGTTAGTTTGCATTTTCTTCTTCCTATTTTAATCTCCCTCTTGTGGGAGGAGAAAGAGTGCTAATCCCTACAGTTTGTTCACCTGAACCAGGTGATAAGAGTGGAAGATATTCTAGGGATTATTTTGTCTAATTTTGTGTGTTGCCAGAATTCCTTGGTGTTCATTATGTTTTCAGCATTTGAACAGAATCTGCTAAATTACATGTTAAATCATTTATGCTTGAAAATGTGTTCCTAAAAGGACAGATATATGCAGCTTCAAATTTTTGAACAATCAAATTCCTTAGTCTGCAATCCTGCCTTGCACACTTACCTTGGAGCAAGCTCCATTGAACATAATTAGGCTTACTTCTGAGGAGACATGTATAGGCTTGTGTATAGGCTGCTACAACCCTCTGCCAGTAATCCACCGTAAACATTACTCACCTAGCATAGTCTAGGTTATTTATTTTGTTGTATGCCATGCTCAAGCGCAGAATGCAGTCAATGTAAATTTTTGAATGTGTTAATAATAGTAAGGAAGAGAGAGGGAGAGAGAAACTCTGCCACATAAATTGGATGCAGGAGGACAGCTGTAGACTGAACAGGAAGTGCTGGCCCAAGGCTAAATGAAACAGCTGTTGCCATTGTTCTGAATAGAAAGTGCCTTTGCAAATTCCACACAGCCCAGGATCAGAAAGCAGATGTTAGTAATTACAACACATGAAAAGAAGGGCACAGGATCAGGCAAGTGACGAAAAAGCAGCAGGACCAATAGATTTATAACTCACTGCTGCAGACCAGCAACTACCAAGGAGAGTGTAACAAGTGTCAGCATTTAGCTCTCCTTCTTCCTGTAAAGTTCACACTAGGGGTGTCATCACTCATTGTCTCCCCGTGTTCAGCTTGCAAACAAATAACCAACTGAGCTGAGCACTGTAAGGTGAAGGTGAAAGAATTCTGTGATTTATCAAAACAAAACATCCCTAATTCGACTGTGTTTAAACAAGGATCCTTGGAACGCAGCAAAACCAGTACAAGATACTTTATAGTCAGTTAACTTTCATTTTTTGCTTTGTATTTATGTACATATGCCTAGATTGGTGTTTTTTCTTCATAACGTTGAATTTATTCTGCATTTGCTAAATTGTTGATTTTTGTTGTTTTGAATTTACTGGCATGTCCCGTATATTTGCATTTCCAATGTTCTCTTTTGTAATGTTTTGAATGTTTGCTATAAGCCACATAGCTCATTGTGTAAAAGCAGCTTCTAGGCTTCCGGTCCTGCCTGCCTTAATGGAGGCAGCCCCCGCAACAGCGGGAGATTGTCTGTGAACAAAAAACAAGCATGGCGGAGGGTAAATCATCCTTGCAAATTCCCCCCAGGGATGGGGGGGGGAATGGGCTTCACTCGCCGTTCGTCTCGGTACCTGGCTCTCGCGCCAGCATGGAATATGGGAGGCAGGAAGGTGTGGAGTGCAAAAGCACTTCACCTGGCGAAAACCCTCCTACACTGCCATTAAGAAACAGAAGTTCTCCGTTTAATTGGATCTTTAATTGGCTTTAAAGTACTTGTGTGTGATGGGCAAGGGATGCAACAACATACTGTGCAATATACCAGCTACATAGATCAAAGGTTTGAATTGAAATAAGATTTTATTTGGCATGAGAGTCGCCTGGGGAGAGGGAAGCCCACAGTTTGTTTATTCTAAGCTGTTTTTATATATTTATGATTCGGCAACCCTCTCCAGAATATAAGATAAAAAGATATTTACAAGTGAGGAAGGGACATTGGAGTAATATTGATATTAACTAGCAAAAATGGAAACTGTGTGTGATCTAAAATAAAGAAAGGGGGGGGAGAGGAAGCTCAAGTATGACTATGTTGGAAAGACAGAGTAATTCCCCTCACCTCCGTTTAAAAACAACAGACAAGGAAAAAGAGACTGGGATTTGTGTGTGCTACTGACGGAATGTAATCTAAGATAAAGTTTAATTAAGCCATAAATCTCTACTTGGAAGGAAAAGAATTTGGAGGCTGTGATAAGAACGCTGCAGAGATTCTGGGAATTGGAAAGGAGTATTCAATCTTCAGCGCATTTGAAAACTGCCCACCTTTTTCTAAGCAGAGGAGGAAATGGCAAAGATCTCTGGTATGTTTTACTAGTGAGACAGAATGGTTTCTAGCAGACGGTCACCTGTTCCGAGACATTGAAGCAAGGGTTGGAGAGATAAGACCTCTGAGAAACTTCAAGATTCGGTTCCTCCACAAGCCACGATGGGAGAAAACAACAGCTGGGAAGTGAAAGAGACAACACCATAAATGGACAGAAGGAATCTCCAAAAACATAACAGTTTTCACATGCAGGGCAGAATAAAGATAATAGTTTGAGTTTCTCACTTGAAGCTTTATACATTTATATATTGTAACATCACGAATGGAAATCATTAATTATGTAGATTATTATTAAAACTGAAAAGTAACTGACATTAATTAAGATTATGGAATGTAGTGATAAAAAATCGGAAATGCACCCAAACCACCATGCAGGGAGCCACTTTAACTAAAATGTATTAATTGGAAGTTGATTGACATTTTGATAATTGTACAATTTGGGAATTAATTGTTATCGTTACAATTTGGCTATTATTGGGGGTATATTGGAAAGATAGATAGATAGATAGATAGATAGATAGATAGATAGATGATAGATAGATAGATAGATGATAGATAGATAGATAGCATATAAGTGAAATCAATCAATCAGAAATAACATGAACGCTATTTTGAGGTTCACTTCCTTTGCATAGTGACAATCTTATGAGAGGGGGCAAGCCTGTTCCACCCAACACATTGCTTTGAATTCTATTGGTTCTGGAGTCTATAATGAATTTGAAGCTACTGGTTGATTTTTGCAGGTGCCTTCTGGACAACTGGTTTCTTATTCTGTAGTCTCTGTTATTCCCTTACTGATGCACATCCATGCCCGGTGTGCCATTGTGTGCCAATGCCACTGACACCAGCACAAGGCCAAACATGACAAGAGACTCTTCTGGATCTCCAGCATATTTAAGGAATCTCATCCTCCTCCCAGAACTTCTACTCCAGTTTTTCAGCAATTAATCCCAGGATGCAGCTCCCAAGTATTTTTGGCAAATCTGATCACAGATGACAAGGTAGGTTGAAATTTGACATAGCCAATGCTGTGGACATTCTGCAGCAGTGGTTAGGAAGACGTCTGAGTGACACATCTCCCTTACCCTTCCAACTTACTTCCAGGTGAATGTGCTGATCAGCTGAGATATGTGGTTATTGCCCCTTCTCTACTAGTCAGCTTAGTGGAGTCTTGCAATGGGGTGGGGAGCAGAAAAAAATTGTCTGGGGCCTAAATCAAGCCCCTTGGACCAAACAGTGGACCAGTAAGATGTCAGCATCGCTGCTACAACACCAATGTCAAATATGGCTGCTATGGCTGAGAGATTTTTATACCTTTTTCTTTAAAAACAGGGACTGTTTCCTGCACTTTTGGTTTGGGGGTAAACCATACAAACAGCAGCGTAATAAGCTTCCATCCAGATATATAGCTTAAATTTCAGCCATAAATAGGAAAGAAGGAAGAAGATGTGATGTTGTGAGCCTGATATTGATTTTGATAAAGCGTTTTTAGGCTTAACATCTTTTGGACGTCTTCTCCATTATTTAAAACCATGCACACATTTAATCAGAAAAAAGAACACACACCCCCACAGCCCATAGCAAGGAGCACAGACTGTAAGAAAGGTTAGTCAAAAGGTAAACCATGTGTTTGCCATCTTTGCTCCTGATATGGAAACCATATGCTTAAATACACCAGCAACCATACTTAATATAACACTTTTTTTTATTAAACCTGGTTTTATAAAAAGCTATCCACCATTCTCTCTGTTAGTGACTTCCAGATAGGTCACATATTCCTCACTGCAACTATCATTACATATTTAGAGCAAATTAGACTGCCCAATATACTGGTTCTGATTATTACTGCATAGGAGCAAGGGGGCATCTTATTTTTCTCCCCTGCCCCTGATAAATTAAAGGGACTGTAATGGGCAATTTCTGCAACCTGCAAAAAGGCAGGCCCATCTGTGACTCATTTAGCACTTAAAAAAAAGAAAGATTTATTTTATTAATTCGGGCAGAATTTAGAGAGAATATAGATGCCCCCCCCTGCTTCTTTTTAGTTCTCCTGCTCACGACTGAGAGAAGAAAAGGAAAAACCCAACCTTGCACAGACATTTCAGGAATGAAAAACTGCCAGCATGTTGTTATTATAAGAGCAAAGTTTGCTGCCTTGGTGGTGAGATAGTGGATGGTTGCCTGGCCAACTGGAAGAACTCTGCTCAGGAATGGCTTTAATATCCTATAGGCCCTCTGCCACCATAAAGCACTATACAGAAATGAAGCACTGCAAAGAAAAACGGGCTGGAAGAACTGGCTGCTCAGCCTACCTTGGTAAAGCATCAAAGAGACAATTTGCAAAGGCCCATTATTATTATTTTCAAATTAAGTTCTTTGGAATTATTCCCATGGTATGATTTCAAAATCAGTGACAAGTCGTGGAAAAATCTGCCTTCCTGCCATTGGTAAACTGCAGAGTATATACGCTACATCAGTCTTCCCCAACCTGGTGCCCTCCAGATGTTTTGTACTTTGGTTTCCATCAACTCCAGCCATTTTGTTCAACACATCTGGAAGACACCAGGCTGGGGGAGGGCTGCTCAAGATAATGCAGGTATGTTAACCTTTCATGCCTACATGATTTGCTCTTTTCCTGAATGAGCAAGATGGTTACACTGTGATAAGATTCCTTCTTCCACCATTTTCCCTTGCATGTTGATGGAACCTTTCTCCATGGTTTGTCCATTTTGGATTAATCAACTTGAATTTGTCTTGCAATCATTAGCACAGTGTCACCACCCCACCACTTATATCAGGCACTGGAAATCTGTGGCTCTCGACATGTCAGACTACATCTCCCAACATCCTTGGCCATTGGCCATGCGGACTGAGGATTTTTGATGTTGGAGTGCCACAGATTCTCCATCCGTGTCTTAAATACTCACTTGAAAAGTGGGAAGTGCTTGCTATTATAATGCTCTTTCGTAAATGTTCTATATATTTCTGGACCCAAGAGCCGGCAAATGCTAGTGATAGTAACTGAAGAAACAGAAGTTTCATAAGCTGGAAAAATAGGGAGTTTGTGAGCCATCATTTGAGTAACAGAGCTACACAATACCCTATTGGCCAGATCGCTTAAAGGAGGAAGCCTTATGTGCCCCTCATCCACAAGTTTTAAGTGGGGAATTTTCTGGGCTTATGATTTTTCTGAACCTGATGACCACTAGGGTAAAAGTAAAAAGTAAGTAAAGGACCCCTGGATGGTTAAGTCCCGTCAAAGGGGACTATGGGGTGCAGTACTCTTCTCGCTTCAGGATGAGGGAGCTGGCGTTTGTCCACAGACAGCTTTCCAGGTCATGTAGCCAGCATGACTAAGCTGTTTCTTGTGCAACGGAACACCGTGATGAGTGCCAGAATGCATGGAAACACTGTTTACCTTCCTGCCACAGTGGTACCTATTTATCTACTTGCACTGGTATTCTTTCGAACTGCTAGGTTGGCAGAAGGTGGGGCAGAGCAACGGGAGCTCACCCGTTGCGTGGATTCAAACTCCTGAACTTCTGATCAGCAAGCCCAAGAGGCTCAGTGGTTTAGACCACAGCGTATCCTGACTCCTGGGTAATATGAAGGGTACAAGCAAGGGAGATAGAAGATTAACTGAGAACATGTCTGGTTCGTTCAGACCACATAGCAAGTCTGACTTGAAGCCTTTGATGGTGAAGTGAGGTGGAGTGGTGGTCAGGCCTACCAATGTTTCAACAGGATCTTATCATAGGTCATATCTGCATCATATATTTAAAACACATGACCTCCTAAAAATACAAAAAACAACAACCACCCCATGGGATATATAGTTTAAAGGTGGTGGGAATTGTAGCTCTTTGAAGGGTAAACTATGGTTCCCAGTGATCTTTGTGGTTTAATTGCATTGCGTGGATATTATCCTAGATAGCAAAAATAACTAGGGTGGCACATAGCCTGAATTTCTGAAAGCCACCACCGCTGAGAACTCTGTATGGGTGCAGGAAGGCTAGAGCTCTCTTCCTGAATGTGTATGGGGAATGGTCTGTATGCCTGGCATGGCAACCCATTGAAGGCCATGCCAGCAATTCTATTAAGGCCTATACAGGTCCTTCTGGTCAACATGCCATTCCTTCCATCAGCCTCTGATCTGTGTGTGGTACACAGGCTGGATCTCTGCTTGATGGCCCCCAGGCTCAGGATAGGCCTGGGTCCTGACACACTGTGTGTTTCCTTATGGAACAGTATGAGGGGAATGGAGGCAACACCCCCATCGCTTAAGAAGAGCTTTCCGTGCAGCAGTGTGTGGCGTTAGCCCCAAACTCCAGTCTCTTTATCTTTCCTGACAAGCAGGAAGAATGAAGAAGATCAAAAGCAAATGAAAATCGATAGGATTAAGGTACTGAAATTCTTCTGTTTTGCCACAGGCTGTCACTCTAACTCCATGTCCTTTGCAGCTGGGCAAGATTTCTCTTTAGAGGAAACCAGATGAGAGAGGAAAGGCAGCCAGACAAAGTAGTTCAGAAGTTTGCTCCTCCTTTTTTTGTTGCCTGTTTCTGAAATATAATCTCCCTGAAGATTTGTTTGGCAGTCGAAAGTCCCCCCCCCCCTCTTCAGAAGAAGAGTAAGGAACATTCATCTTGATAACACACATGCTGAGCTATAGGGAAGTAGCTTGGTTGTCGGGTTGAGTACGGCCAAAAAAAATTAGAAGCAAATCTAACGACAGCTTTAATGTTGCTGGGCTTTGCATGTGCGGGCCATTTGTGCACCTGCACAAGTTTGGGGAGAGGGAGGGGGGTCTATTTGCACATGGAGAGTTGCTGAGTCCAGCTGGGCAAAAGCCAAACTCCACAGTGGACAAAGGATGAGGGTGCCTCAATCGAATCTTTCAGATGTTTCCATTGACACCAGCCAGAGATAAAAGCCCAGTACAAACACTCCCCCAGGCTTCAAGCGTCTTTGCATAGTCTGTTGATGCCTACGCTCTTCTCCCATGCAGATAATGTCTGCTAAGTTCCTGCCTGTGCGGCAAAAGCCTTTGCGTGTTGCAAGGAGTGGAGTCTCCAACCTCTCCTGCCATGTGGAGGTACACCGCATGTGATTCCCACGGCTG